GTGTAGGTACGGAAGAGGGATTGTTCCACGTAACCTACAAAGAGGCAGGCGTAGCTTGGGCCCATGCGGGTACCCATGGCCACCCCCTTTGTCTGTCAGAAGTGGGAGGAATTGAAAGAGAAGTTGTTGAGGGTGAGAACGAGTTCGGCTAAGCGGATGAGGGTGTCCCTGGAGGGGGACTGGTTGGGCCTGCGGGACAGGAAGAAACGGAGGGCCTTTAGGCCATCTGTATGGGGAATGCAGCTGTAGAGGGACTGGATGTCCATGGTAAAGATGAGGTGTTGGGGACCGGGGAATTGGAAGTTCTGGAGGAGGTGGAGGGCATGGGTGGTGTCACGGGCATAGGTAGGGAGTTCCTGGACCAAGGGGGAGAAAATGGAGTCCAGATAGTTGGAGATCAGTTCGGTGGGGCAGGAGCAGGTGGAGACAATGGGTCGACCAGGGCATTCAGGTTTGTGGATTTTGGGAAGGAGATAGAAGCGGGCAGTGCGGGGTTGGGGAACGATGAGGTTGGAGGCCGTGGGTGGGAGGTCACCTGAGGTGATGAGGTTGTGGATGGTTTCATCTCCTCCCTACTAACCTCATCCCGCCCCTTTGATCTATCCGTCCTCCCTGGACTGACCTATCCCCTCCCTAACTCCCCACCTACACTCACCTTTATTGGCTCCATCCCCGCCTCTTCGACCTGTTTGTTTCCTCTCCACCTATCCTCTCCTCTATCCCTCTTCTATCCGCCTCCCACTCTCTCCCTATTTATTTCAGAACCCCCTTCCCCTCCCCCTTTTCTGATGAAGGGTCTCGGCCTGAAACGTCAGCCTTTCTGCTCCTATGATGCTGCTTGGCCTGCTGTGTTCATCCAGCCCTGCACTTTGTTGTCTCGGATTCTCCAGCATCTGCAGTTCCTACTATCTCTGAGGCAAAGGATGTATCCTTCTAAGGATATACATTACATTGTAAGTTACATTATTTGAGGCTAGAGTCCATTCAACAGTCTGATAATGGCCAAAAAGAAGCTGTTCCTGAACCTGCTTGTGCGTGTGTTCAGGCTTCTGTATCTTCTGCCTGATAGAAGAGATTTTAGGAGATTATTACTAGGGTGTGATGGGTCTTTGATGATGTTGGCGGCCTTTCCGTGGCAACGAGCCATGTAAATAGAGTCCATGGATGGGAGGTTGGCTTCCATGATGGCCTGGGCTGTACATACCACCTTCTGTGGTTTCTTACAGTCCTGGGCAGAGCGGTTGCCATACAGGCCATTATATACCCAGACAGTATGCTTTCAATGGTGTATCAATAGAAGTTGGTGAAGGATCTTATGAACATGCCAAATTTCCTTAGCCACTTGAGAAAGAAAAGGCGTTGTTGTGCCTTCTGGACTGTCGCATTTCCCTGGGAGGTCCAGTACAGATCATTGGTTATCGCCTTCCGGAAGAACCATTGCCTTCGCCATTCCTTAATTTGCATCACACACCCCCCCAACCACTCCACCACCGCATCCCCCTCCCACCACCCCACCATCCCACCACCTCCTCCCACTTCCTTCCCCTGTCACTGTAAAAGAAACAACACCAGCCCACACCACCTCCCTCACCTCCATCCAGGGCCCTAAACAGTCCTCCAGGTGAGACAGAGTTTCACCTGCATCTCATCCAACCTAGTCTATTGCATCTGGTGCTCCCAGTGTGGTCGTGTCTCCATCAGTGAGTTGAAATGAGCGATGTCTGGGAGGTTAGTTTGGCTAACGTAGACTAGGTGACCGTTTCGCCAAGTATCTTTGCATGGTCCAAAACAGCCAAACTACCCTCCCAGACATCGCTCATTTCAACTCCTCCCTCCACCCCCTCAACTCCCCCTCTGACATGTCCATCCTCAGTCTCCTTCAGTGTCGTAGTGAATCAGATCGCAAATTTGAGGAACAACACCTTATCTTCCGCCTGGGCACCCTACAGCCCAGAGAACTTAACATTGAGTTTGCTAATTTCAAATAACCTTCCCACCCGTCCCCCTGCTCCCTTTCTGGCCCCTCCTCCTCCCTTCCTTTCCACCGACTGACCCTTCCTTCCAGCCACCAACCGGATTCATCCCTCCCATCAACCCGGTCGCACCTACCGCCAGTGTCCACCTATCACCACCGTTCTGCTACCCTCCCCACCTGCTTTATCGGCAGCTCCCCCTACCCCCACATCCAGTCCTGAAGAAGGATTGTACCTGAAACATTGACTTCTCCTTTCCTCCAGATGCTGCCTGGCTTGCTGTGTTCTTCCAGACTCCTATTTGTCTACCAGAGATGAAAGTCTTGTCTTACGTGGAGAGATTTAGCAGTACAGGTCTGCGCTCACTAGGATTTATAAAAATGAGAGGAGATCTAATTGAGATATATAAAATGCTGAAGGGGATTGACATAGAACATAGAACGTTGACTGCATAGATGTTTCCCCTCATGGGGCAATCTAGAACAAGAGGTTATGGTTTTAGGCCAAGGAGGGACATATTTAAAGCAGAAGTGAGGAGGAATTGTTTCTCTTAAAGGGTTGTGAATCTGTGGAATTCACTGTCCTAGATTGCATTGGATGCCAGGATGCTGAATAAACTTAAAGAGAAGACAGACAAGTTTTTAATTAATAATGGGTTGAAGGGTTATGGGTAGTGAGCAGGAATTTGGATTTGCGTCAAAGATGAGATGAGCGTAATCATATTAAATGGTGGAGCAGGCTTATCCTGCTCCTAATTCTTAATTTCGTCTGGCTCAGAAGTGGGCACACCACCCACACTGATCTATGAGATTTCTTTTGAATGATTCATTTCTCATAGAGTTTCTATTTATTTTGTGCAGATCTACTAACTACGCCAATGATATCGCTTGATCAATCGACTAGTGTTTACTTGGAAGGAGGGACAGTCATTCTTACCTGCATTGTGAAGGGTGACTATCTAGGCGAAACCTTCATCTTTTACAGAAATAGCCGAATGCTGTACTCTAGTCAAATCAGCATAAAGCACAACATTGGCACCTTCACAGCTACCACAGCAAACGAAGGTGATCAGTATCAATGCCAGTATGGTACATCCATTAATGGAAGATGGTTGTGGTCCCAACTCAGTGAGGCTGTGTCAATCACTGTGACAGGTAAGTGACAAAAAACATATTATTAGTCTGTGTAGGCTGCCTTTATTTTCAAACATTCATAGATTTGCCATTCCAACAAACTAGAGTGTTAATATAGAGAGAAATGAAAGCAGAAAGCCTCAATTATTGAATCAGAACATATTACTGCACAGCAGACCTTTCCATCCATCATGCCTGTTCTAGCTTTTTCAAAGAGCTGTTCAATTATTCTCACTCCCTATATTTTTTCTCATAGCCCCTGCAAATATTATCTATTATTCAAAAACAGAAATTGCCAGAGAAATTCAGCAGGTCTGGCAGCATCTGTGCAGAGAAAACAGTTAATGTTTCAAGCCCAGTGATCCTTCCTCAGAACTAGGCTGGACTGGTCCCGAGACTCAAAACATTAAGTCTGCTTCCCCTCCGCAGATACTACTAGACCTGCTGAGTTTCTCTCACAATTTCTGTTTTGTTTCAGATCTTCAGCACCTGCAGTTCTCTTTTTGTCTATCATGTGTTTCTCCAATCAACGTTACAAAGTCACGATTTAATGAGTTTTCACCATCCTTTCACGTAACACATTCAGTATCACAACTCACCGCTTAAAATAAGTTTTACTCATGTCACCATTGATTCTAGTGCAGATCTACTGAATTACATCTTCTTTGTTTATCAACCATTCATTCACAGGAGCTGTTTTCATCTTATGAATTCAATCAATACACACATTCCAAATCTTCTCTTGACCTTCACAGCTCTGAGGGGAAACGATTTCAGCTTCTTCATCTCAGCAAAGTCTGTCATTCCTGATACCATTCCGCTGAATTGTCATTGTGGGATGCTGCTGTATGTATTCTGGTTGACTACAGTTCAAAAAATAATTCATTGTGTAGAGCACATTGTTACGTAGAGTAAGCCTCCCTTTCCTTCTTTGTTTAAATAAACAGCTTCTGGCTGAACACCTTGAAATCTTCTATCAGATTTCATTTGACCTACTTTGTCCTATAATAATTCTATCAGTCCTAAAGTGTGCCAGAAAGTTGATTATATTTGCTACTTGGTAACTCAATTTTGCCCTCTCCACCCAATGAGTCTGATTAACTGTTTATCACCCTCAATGATTTTATTCTTCATTAAAGTAAAATTGGCAGCATGTGGAACCAGCAGAAAAGCTAAACTCTTCACAGTTTTGGGTAAAATTGCCTTTGTGAGTCTTAGTGTATTTCTCATCAATGTGCTCCTCTTCTGCCGTTACAGTTTACCCTGTGCAGCCGTCAATATCTGTGACCCGTTGGGATGAAGTGTTTGTGAGAGGCGAGGTGATCATGCTTACCTGTGAAGCAGGATCTCCATATTTGGGCAGCACTTTCTATTTGTACAGGAACAACAAGAATAGACCAATCAGAATCAAAACAGCTAAGCCATTGCAAGCTGCTGTCGTCTTTAATATCTCAAATCTTTTGGAATCTGGATCGGAAATTTACTCCTGCACCTATAAAAAAAGAGTCCTGGAGCAAGAGATAGTCTCAGGGAGAAGTGAAAATATGAAGATAACGGTAGTTGGTAAGTTTCATGCCCTCTTGCTCTCAAGAAATTTGCGCCACTGGATGTGATGATTCACCCTGTGAGCTGTGGAAAGCTTTAACATCAATACATTGTGTTTTAACTAATCTCCATCAGAACTTCCAGATTTCCAGAGAAGCAGGAGCTCTTTTAACAAGTGGACAAAAAAGTTACATGCCCCCCTTTGAAAGGGCACTATACTCCACTGTAACCAACACAAACCACAGCTTTGAAGGAAACTTAAATTAAACCAAAATTCTCAAGGTTAATCATGTACTGCAACCCCATTAAAGGCCCTAATCTGATGGTTGACATGGCATGCCCCCTGTCCAAGGACACCGAGGTATGGTGCAGCAGAGGAAGACAGACAAGCTGTCAAGTGGAATAGCTACCTCATTCACAATTTGCCTCTGCCTGTTAATGGCCACTGTTATCTGACCCAGGATCAGTCTCGAAGAGGTCTCCTGGTCTGTCCATTCCCTCTCCAGGGAATGGCCAAAGATCAGGGAGAGTACAGAATCATAAATTGAGGGGCAATACCTCTCACACTCTGAATTAATATGACATGCAGAGATACTTCAATTCTGCATTCCCTCTCCAAGACACACTGACTCTGTGCCACATGCAGACTGCATCAAGATGGGTGCCAAAAATCAGCTTGTAAATGTCGACTAGAAATCAGTCATAACTATTGGCCACAACAGCAACACCAAATCTATTCAAGCACCATTAATTCTTTTACTTGGTACTTGAATTTCTAGGGCATGCATGAGGTTTTAAATAATATTTTCAGCCTCAGTAAAATTAGCAGAAGTACGCATTCTTTGTTCTGCTTGTATTCCAAAGTGTAATTTCTGCACAAAAACCTGATATGTCACTAGAACTCAATTCATAACTGGTGTGTTCTCCTGTCCCAATCAGAATCCACTTCAATCAACACTTTTCTCTCATACAGTATAAATGTGGTTTTCCTGTTACTTTGGCTTTTTTATGAATGGTCCTGATGAGTGCAAAATGAAAAGCTGTGAAAAAATATTGCTGTAATACTCAACAACTTAATTTGTTTTATTCATTAAATTCATGAATCAGTGATTTCCCATTTGTGGAATTTCAGATTCCAGACAAATCCTTTCAAGATAGTGGGATTATTGTGGAATTAGATATCCTTCACTGCACAAGAAATTCAACAGATCCATTTCTTAATTACTTCTCCTCAGATCCACTAAGAACGCCAAGGATATCTGTTGATCAGTTGACAGGCGTATACTTAGAAGGAGAGACTGTCACCATTACCTGCACCTCAGACAGAGAATATCGTCGTCAGATCTTCTTCTTTTACAGAGATAATCAGCTTTTGTCCTCTAATCAACTCTCCCAAAAAGGAAACACTGGAACCTTCAAAGTTACCAGAATAAGCCAAGGAGGGAGGTACCAGTGCAAATATGGAACCACCATCAAAGCAAGATGGTTAGAATCACAGCTGAGTGAAGCTGTGACAGTTGCTATAGCTGGTGAGTTAATGGAGCAGCGATTGTTAAATTTCAAAAAGTGAATTGATTATAACACTAATCCATTGAGAGCACTTTATACATCCTTCCAGATTAAAACCAACCATTTGCTATTTAATTTCTATCCCTTATCTAATTTTGGATCCATTCTACTGCAGTTGCCTTAATCCCATTATAGCATTTGTTGCAGATCTATAATGCAATGACCACAGAACTGTTTTAGTGCGGAAGGAGGCCATTCAGCCCATTGTATCCGCACCTGCTTTCAAAGAATTTTGACTTAGCGCTAACCTTCTGCCTTATTCCCGCAACCCTGCACATTCTTTCTATTTAAATAGTCATTTAATGCATTAATTTATTTTACAAAATACTTCATCAAACACCTTTTTAAAGCCTGTGTCCGTAACCTCAACTGCACTGGCCCTACAAAACCTGCTGCCTTTGGTTGTATTTTTATTTCGTGTTTTTCCAGTGAGCCTCAAATCTGCTGAATTGGAATTATACTTGCATGTGGCCAAATTAACAAATATGGGAATTTTAACTTGATATCTGATCCTCCTTATGCTTAATTTTCAGAGCAATTTTAATGTTAAAACTTGTTTTGGGAAGCAGATGTTTCACTAGATCCGGGATCACTTTCCACTGATCATGCAGTAGGAATCACAACTTAACCCTTTGCCCCATCTCATTTTATGAAGCAAAACCTTCCAGTCAACATAAATGATTCATTATTGTACATGAAGAGACATAGACTGATTTTGCATTGTTGCTTCTATAGAGTCATCATGTCTAAGCTGGATCTCTCCAGAGCAACCCAGTCAGTCCCACCCCCGTAGCTGTGGGGGATTTATTTCCATCAAGTGCCCATCTGATTTCCTTCTGAAATCATTCATTGTTTCTGCTGCTATCATCTTCACAGATCATGAGTTTCAGGTAACAACCACTTGAACATACTAATCAGGAACAGGAGTATGCCATTCAGCCCCTCAAACCTGCTGCTGTTGTGTCATTTGTGATGATCATGGCTGGTCTCATTGTAACCTCAAATCCACATTCGTGCCAACTCTAATGACCTTTCACCCCTTTCCTTAATGAGAATCTATCCAACTCTGCCTTCAAAATATTCAAGGACTCTTTCCCCCACCTTTTCAGGAAGAGAATTTCAAAGACTCAAGACTCTCCGAGAGGAAAAAATGGCCTGATCTCTGCTTTAAATGTATGTCCCCTGATTTTTAAACAGAGACCTTCAATTCTGGATTCTCCCATTAGAGGAAACATCCTCTCAACATTTACTCTTCAATATTTTAAGCAGGTAGTTCTGCTATAACGCGTGTTACATTAACGAGAATTGGCTGTAACGCCATTGATGAATAGTGGACGCAGTTTGGATAACATGACTTTCTGCTGTAAAAATATAGTGATTTTCTGTAGATATTTCCCTATAACACGATTTTCTATAGCATAAGGTCACACAAGAACGCAAATATCGCGTCATAGGAGAACTACCTGTATGTTCCTTAAAGACATTTTCTGATGAACAATTAGCTGAATCACAGGTTTCATGGATTTATCAGTGTTTACAACACACTCGGCCATTTGGCCATTGTGTCCATATTGATCAAGAAAGATCTGACTACATCAATCTCATTCTCCATCTCTTAGCCCTTAGTCTTCGAGGTAAAGGCAATGCAAATGAACATTTAGCTACTCCCTAAAAGTTTCAATTAAGTCATCTCTTACTCTTTTATATTCTGGTAGATACAAGCCTAGCCTGTCCAACCTTTCCTCATAAAACAACCTGCCCATTTCAGATATTAGTCTAGTGACCTTATCTTAACTGCCTCCAACATATTTACATCCTTCCTTAACTAGGGTGATGAATACTGTGCACAGTACACATGTGGTTTCACTAATGCCCTGCATAACTGAAACATAACTCCTTTACTTTAGTATTAAATCCCCCTTGCAATAAATTATAACATTCTATTAGCTTTCCTAGTTACTTGGTGGACCTATATGTAACTTCTTTTGATTCATGCATGAGGATACCCAGATCCTTTTACATCTCAGAGCTCTGCAATCAGTTCCTAAATTTCCTTCTTAACCTGCCCCTGCATCTCTTGCCGAAAAGATTAAAACTATATCCCTCTTGTCCTTGCACTCTCAGCTAATTTTTTTCTTGTCTATTTTATTCAAGGCTATCATAATTTTATACACCTCATACGAATCTCCTCCTTTTGCTCCCAGGAGAACAATGCCAGCTTCTCCAACCTAACTTTATAAGTAAAACTCACCAGCCTGGAACCATCCACTCTACGCTGTCTCAAAGGTCCTCAGTTCCTGCCTGAAGTGAGGCGATCAGAATGGACCTGCAACCAGAGCTTTCTAAATGTTCAGCATAATTTCCCTACTTCTATTTATTTTTCCACAGATGCACTAACAACTCCGGGGATATCTCTCGACCAATCAACTGGAGTATATCTGGAAGGCGAAATGGTGACCATTACTTGCACAGTGAACAGAGAATATCATAGTCGAACTTTTCATTTCTACAAAGATAATCAACAACTGACATCTCATCAACTTTCTATAAGGGACAACATTGGAACATTTCCAGTTACCAATCTAAACCAAGCTGGGCGCTATCAATGTAAATATGGAATCGCCATCAAAACAAGATGGTTAGAATCCCTACCCAGTGAGGCTGTGACTATCACTGTTGCAGGTGATTGATGAGAAATACAGACTCATAATGTGTTTATACAAAACTGTTGCTTACTACTAAAATTTGAATCTCTTCATAGTAACTGTTTAACATGCACAAGGTGGATCTCTGGCATCAGTACTTGGTAGGATTGCTGTAACAAAGGCTTCTAAACACAATTAGGATAATGCTAGACCAATTACACTTCATAAATTGGACATAAATTGTGTCTCCCAGCTACAGGAAAGATGTTGTTAAATTGAAAGGGTTCTGAAAAGATTTCAAAGGATGTTGCCGGAGTTGAGCGATAGGGAGAGGCTGAATAGGCTGGGGCTATTTTCCCTGGAGTGTCAGAAGCTGAGGGGTGACCTAATAAAGGTTTATAAAATCATGCACAGCATGTATGGTGTGAATATCCAAGGTCTTTTTTCCCAAGCAGGGGAGATCCTAAACTAAACGGCATAGGTTTAAGGTGAAAGGGGAAAGGTTTAAAAGGGACCTAAGAGGCAACCGTTTTATGCAGAGGGTAGTGCCTGTACGGAATGAGCTGCCAGAGGAAATGGTGGAAGCTGGTACAATGAAAACACTTAAAAGGCATCTGGAGGGTATATGAAAAGCAAGGGTTTAGAGGGATTTGGGCCAAATGCTGGCAATGGGACTAGATTAATTTAGGATATCTGGTCAGTGTGGATGATTTAGACCAAAGGGTCTGTTTCCGTGCTGTGCAACTCTATGACTTAATGACTCTATAAGTAGAGTAACACATCAGTGATTGCAGGGATAGAGTAAAATTGCAATGTATAAAGAATAATATGATTCTTTTTACTGTTTATTCATGAGGTGTGAGAATAGGTGGCTGAACCAGCATCTCTTATTGCCCTTGAAAGCTCCTTTATTGAATAGCTGCAGTCCATGTGCTCTAGGTAGACACACAATGCTGTTCGGAAGAGAATTCCAGGATTTTGACTAAGTGACAGTGAACGAACGGTGATATATTTCCAAGTCAGGATAGTGAGTAGCTTAGAAGGAAACTTGAAGGTGGTGGTGTTCCCATGGATCTGCTGCCCTTGTCCTTCTAGATGGAAGTGGCCATGGGTTTGGAAGGTGCTGTCTGAGGATCTTTGGTGAATTTCTGCAGTGCATCTTGTTGATTGCTCGGTATTGGTAGTACTGTACTTCGGTGGTGGAGGGAGTGGATGCTTGTGGATGCAGTGCCACTCAAGCGGGCTGCTTTGTCCTGGATAGTGTCAAGATTCTTGAGTGATGTTGGAGCTCATCCACGCAAGTGGGGAGTATTCTATTACACTCCTGACTTGTGCCTTGTAGGTGGTGGACAGATTTTGAGGAGTCAGGAGGTGAGTTACGTGCCGCTGCGTTCCTAGCCCCTGACCTGTCCTGGTAGCCACTGTGTTTCTGTGGTGATTCCAGTTGAGTTTCTGGTCAATGATAACCCCTAGGATGTTGAAGTGGGAGATTCAGTACTGATAACACCATTGAATGTCATGGGGCAGTGGTTAGATTGTCTCTTATTGGTGATGTTCATAGCCTGGCATTTGTGTGGCGTGAATATTACTTGCCACAAATCAGCCCAAGCCTAGATATTGTCCAGATCCTGTTGCATTTGAACACAAGCTGCTTCAGTGTTTGACAACTCACAAATGGTGCTGTACATTGTGCAATCTTCGGCAAACATCCCCACTTCTGACTTTATGATGGAGGGAAGGTCATTGATGAAGTGGCTGAAGATAGTTGAGCCTAAGACACTACACTGAGGAACCCTGCAGAGTTGTCCTGGAGTTGAGATGACGGACCTCCAACAACCATGAACATCTTCCTATGTGTCAGGTATGACTCCAACTACCAGAGAGTTTGCCCCCGATACCCATTGATTACAGTTTTTCTAGGGCTCCGTGATGCCACACTCAGTTGAATGCAGCCTTGATGTCAAGGGCTGTCACTCTCACCTCACCTCTGGAATTCAGCTCTTTTGTCCGTGTTTGAATCAAGGCTGTAATGAGGTCAGGAGATGAGTGGCCCTGGCAGAACCCAAATTGTGCGTCACTTAATAGGTTTTTGCTCAGCAATTACTGCTTTATAACACTATTGATGAACCTTACATCAATTTACTGATGATCTAGAGTAGACTGACGGGGCAGTAATTGGCCGGGTTGGATTTGTCCTGCTTCTTACATACAGGACATACCACGGCAAGTTTCCACATTGTCAGGAAGATGCTAGTGTTACAACTGTATTGGAACAGTTTGGCTAAAGAAGTGGAAAGTTCTGGAGCATAAGTCTTCAGTTCTATTGCCAAAATGTTGTCAGGGCCCATAGCCTTTGCAGTATTCAGTGTATCTCCAACTGTTTCTTGATATCACATGGAGTGAATCAAATTGGCTGAAGACTTGTATCTGTAATGCTGGGGACCACTGGAGGACATATTTGCAAGTCAGAGTGGTGTGTGAGTATGGTTGGAGGGGAACTTGGAAGTGGTGGTGTTCCCATGTATCTGCTGCCCTTGTCATAAAGTAATTCAGCACGGAAACAGACTGTTCGGTCCAACCAGTCCATGCCGATCATAATCCCAAACTAAACTAGGCCCACATGCTTGCGCTTGGCCCATATCTCTCCACAAATTCCTTATTCATGTACTTATCTAAATCTCTTTTAAATGTTGTAACAGCACCCACATCCACCATTTCCTCTGGAAGTTCATTCCACACACGAACCATAATATAGAAAATTCAGCATTCTAAAACATGAATTATGTCACAGCAGTGCTAGCTTTAGAGTAAGCTGGTGAACTGGCAAGTTAATTAGAAGCCACACAACAAATGAGAGTCAAAGTACAATTTGTAAATCCATAGATCAATTTCTATATGTTAAATTACCAGCCAACAACAGAATGAATCACAGGGAAATCTGAGATTCAGGCTAACATCTGTGCTGATTCAGCTGATCTCATCTAAGGCAATATTCTTCCTTACAGATAAAACCAAACAACATGGCGCCGATTTGCAAATATGATTACAAAATTGTAACTATATGAGCTGATTCTGTGCATTTCACTTATCCAGTACTTCCCAAACCTTTTCCCTCTCTGACCCCAGTTCGAGGCTTGAAAATTGAAATGGCCGCACACATTGAGAACCACGGGACATGAGAAAAGCTGCAGCGGTATTTTCAAAGATAACAAGGTGTAGAGCTGGATGAACACAGTAGGCCAAGCAGCATCAGAGGAGCAGGAAAGCTGATGTTTCAGGCCTAGACCCTTCTTCAGAAATGAGGGAGGGGAAGGGGGTTCTGAAATAAATAGGGAGAGAGGGGGAGGCAGATAGAAGATGGATAGAGGAGAAGATAGGTGGAGAGGACACAGACAGGTCAAAGAGGCGGGGATGGAGCCAGTAAAGGTGAGTGTAGGTGGGGAGTTAGGGAGGGGATAAGTCAGTCCCGGGAGGACGGACAGGTCAAGGGGGCGGGATGAGGCTAGTAGGTAGGAGATGGGAGTGGGGCTTGAGGTGGGAGGAGGAGATAGGTGGGAGGAAGGACAGGTTAGGGAGGCGGGGACAAGCTGGGCTGGTTTTGGGATGCGACAGGGGGAAGGGAGATTTTGAAGTCCACATTGATACCATTGGGCTGCAGGGTTCCCAAGCGAAATATGAGGAACTGTTCCTGCAACCTTCGGGTGGATTCATTGTGGCACTGCAGGAGGCCCAGGATGGACATGTCTTCTGGGGAGTGGGAGGGGGAGTTGAAATGGTTCGCGACTGGGAGGTGCAGTTGTTTAGTGTGAACCGAGCGTAGGTGTTCCTACTTGGTATTTTCAAACTTGCCTTTTCACTGCATTTTTGGAGCAGGAATCAGGCCTCAAATATTATTAATTCAGACTTGCCCATCAGTTAAAAAAAAACATTTTAAAGGGCCTCATAGCTGTTAAAGGGTCAAAGCTCTACAGTAGCCATCGTTGGCTTAGAGCTCAGGACCAATACATCCTCAAACAGTTTATTCTGCGTGCTCTTAAATCACAGAATGCAAATTCCACACACTCTTTCCTTACCTGAGCAGAATTGGCTTTGTTATTTTGGGAATTCTTTCCTTGTAAACAAAGAATACCACAGAATATGGGCAAACGTATCTTGGATAAAGTAGTATGCCTTCATTTTCAAATTCATAAAGATAAAACTGTGTAAGGTCAAATGCCAAATCCTTCTAAATGAAAGTGGTTGTAAGGTTGGAACGTGTTGCCTAAGGACCCTCGGTGAATGTCTGCAATGCATCTTGTAGATGGTACACAATGTTGCTACTGAGTGTCTATGGCAGAGGGAGCGAATGTTTATAGATGTGGAGCCAATGTGGCTGCTTTGTCCTGGATGTTGTCAAGCTTCTTGAATGTTATTACATCTGCACCCATCCAGGCAAGTGAGGAATACTCTGCTACACTCCTGACTTGTACCCTGTTGATGGGAGATAGAATTTGGGGAGTAATGAGGGGAGGCACTCACTGCTGTATTCCTAGCCTCTGATCAGCTCTTGTAGCTACTGTATTTATATGGCTGCTCCAGTTCAGTTTATAGACAATCTCCAGGACATGGATAATGAGGAAATCAGTGATGGTGATGTCATTGATTGTCAAGGGACAATGACTAGATTCTTTCTTGTTGGAGATGGTCATTGTTTGGCATCTTTGTGGCGCAAATGTTACTTGCAAGTTCTCTGTCGAAACCTGAATATTGCCCAGTTGTTGCTGCATTTGGATGTGGACTGCTTCAGTATCTGAGGAGTTGCAAATGGTACTGAATATTTTGCAATTATCAGCGTACATCTCATTTCTGATCTTATGATGGACGGACAGTCATTGATGAAGCAGCTGAAGATGGGTGGATCTAGAATACTATCCGGAGGAACTACTGCAGAGATATCCTCGGGTTGAGATGATTAACCTCCAACAGTCACCATCATCTTCCTCTGTGCCAGGTATGATCCAACCAGCACAGAGTTTCCCTCAATTCCCATTGACTCAAGTTTTGAGAGGACTCTTTGATGCCATATTTGGTCAAATCAACTTTGATTTCAAGGGTAGTCACTGGCATCACAGAAGTAACACAGAAATTGATGAGGGATAGTCTAACATAGCATTGAGTAATGAATGAGGCAGAGTGTAACAAAGCAAGGAGTGAACATAGCATCACAGCAGTAAGTCAGGGATAGAGTCCCAAAAACACAAGTGTGGATTGTAACACAGAGTGAGTAAGGGACAGAGTAGTAAGAGACAGTAACACTGTAGTGAATGAAGGGATAGAATAACACAGAAGAAAGACACGAATAGAGTAACACAGCAGACAAGGATGGATAGAGTTACAAAAGAAGACAATAACATAGCAATGAGTAAGGGACAGAGTAACAAATCAGTGGGTGAGGGATAGTAAAACGATGGAGAAAGGTCATTGATGAAGCATCTGAAGGCATTTAGGCCTAGGGCAATGTTGCAAGTTAAAAGATTAATAGAATTTTAATCCAGTGGAAATGGCTGAATGACTTCTTTTCCTAGTAAGATATGCATATGTCAAAGTCTGATGTTGGCGCCCTGGAGAGGAGCTTGGGCAGACAATGCAGCGAATGCTGCAGAAACTTATCAGGTGTGGCAGCATCTGTGGAGAGAGAAACAGAGTTAATGTTTCGAGTCCAGTTTGATTTTTCTTCAGAACTTTACTGCCTTAGAACTGTTATGGATTAAAACAGAACTGAATGAGGGATGGATTAACTGAACTGAATGAACGATAGAGCAACAAAATTGCATGATGGATGGATTAACACAGAACTGAATGAAGGATAGAGTAACACAGTAAAAAATGAGGGATAAATGTCCTTTAGGCATTCTGATCCTTCCCTTGTCTGGCCTAACCTAAACTGTGTGTTAAGGTTCACAACTGATTGTGTTGTAGGAATAATTTCATTGCATTACTTAACTGCAACTTACAGGAGTATTTCTGAAGCACTTTCTCCATCTCCATTACCCAGCAGGGAAAGGTAGAAGGAACATAAGGACACCAACACACCCAAACTCCTTTCCAGGGCACCACCTGGGATTGTGGGGTGTTTGCTGACGATTGCAAAATGTTCATCATCATTCACGATTCTTCAGATACTGAACCTTGTCCATGTCCAAATGGAGCAAGAACTGGACAATATCCAGGTCTGGGCTGACAAATGGCAAGTAACATTCAAGTCACACAAGTGCTAAACAATGACCATCTCCAACAAGACAGTATCCAGTCATTGCCCCTGAACAATCAATGACATCACCATCACTGAATGCTCCAATATTAATACCCTAGGGCTTACCATTGACCAGTAACTGAACTGGACCAACTATTTGAATGCAATGGTTACAAGAACAGGTCAGAGGCTAGGCATCCTGCAGCAAGTAACTCACCTCCTCACTCTCTAAATTCTATCTCCCATTTGTAAGATACAAGTCAGGAGTGGGATGGAATATTCCTACTTGCCTGAAAGAGTGAAGCTCCAACAACACTCAAGAAGCTTGACACCATCCAGGACAAAGCAGCCCACTTGATTGGCACCACATCCTTAAATATTCACTCCCTCCACCACTGAGGCTCTGTAGCAGCATTATGTACCATCTACAAGATACACAACCCCTTAGACAGCACCTTCCAAATCCATAACCACTTCAATCTAAAAGGACATGGGCAGCAGATTTATGGGAACACCACCATCTCCTAGTCTCCCTCCAAGCCACACACCATCCTAACTTGGAAATATATCACTGTACCTTCAGTGTCACTGGGTCTAAATCCTGCAAGCTTCTCCCTAACAGTATTTAGATCTACTTAAAGCACACAGACAGCAGCGGTTCAAGGAGGCATCTCACCACCACTTTCTCAAGGGCAACTAGGTACAGACGATAAATCCTGACTCAGCCAGCAATGCCCAAATCCAATGAATGAATAAAAAATATTGTTGGGATCACGTTAACCCATAACCTGCAACAGCTCAAGAAGCAAACTAATCTCCATCTGTCATAAAACTGGACAATGAAGGCTATAGCATTACATGCACACCCAAACATATGTAAAGATATTGGCTAGCTGAAATTTAACTCCCTTTATTTAACGTTTGAATTACTGTTTCTTGTTAGAGACCTTTCCCTTTAATTTTGTTTGTGCCATGGTTAAGTGATATAAGGTTAATTTCAAATCAATGAATTTTGCTTGTGTTGGTATCCAAAAGGAAAACTGTGAGGCTGACTGGCAATAGAAGCCGTATCTGATTTATACATTGACAGGAATCTGTATGATTTCACTTGTGAATTCATGTATTCCTTACCAATGGAATCTCTTGATCACAAGTTTAAGTGCAATGCCATTGTTATAGTTATGAAATAACCAATCTTGTGCTGTATATTAAATGTTACAGATGCACTAACACCGCCAGGAATATCTCTCGATCAGCCGTCCGGAGTGTATTTAGAAGGAGAGACTGTTACCATTACCTGCATCACAAAAAGAGAATATCATGATAAGATCTACTTTTACAGAAATAATCAACTACTGTCGTCATATCAACTGCTCATAAAGGATAACATTGGAACCTTCACAGTTAGCAGCTCCAGCCAAGGAGGGCGGTATCAGTGCCAATATGGATCCTTTGTCAAAACAAGACGATTACTGTCACAGCTCAGTGAGGCCATGACTGTCATGATCACAGGTGAGTGAATGAGAGCAAAGATTCTTGATATGTCTTTTGAAAGTTTTAATTATTTCTGTTAAAAATAAAACTTAATTCAATGTGATGTTTTCCAACATACACAGACAGTGGGTGAGAATTCCATTCTTCAAGGTCTCTTTTCCAAAGACCCCTGAACACAAAGGATACATATTTACTACCAGTGAAATCATTACAGGAGACAGATGTTCAGTGTGAGCATTATGTCATTATAAAGGAATCAAATTAATCTGAAATAGTAGCAAAAGCTCAAACTGTTCTACTGTGAATGGGAGAGAATGTAGGACAAAGAGTATGATAAGCCATTAATAGATGATGCCTATTTTACCAAGCCTGTGAAAGTTACTTCCACTCAAGCAATCTAAAAATTGCAGCTTAACCATAAAATCCCTACAGTGTGGAAATAGGCCCTTCGGCCCAACAAGTCCACACTGACCCTCAGGGCATCCCACTGAGACCCATCTCCCTATAACCCACGCATCCCTGAACACTATGAGCAATTTAGCATGGCCAATCCACCTAGCCTGCACATCTTTGGAATGTGGGAGGAAACCTACACAGACACAGGGAGAATGTGCAAACTCCATACAGACAGTTGCTCAAGGATGGAATCGAACCCGGGTTCCTGGCGCTGTAAGGCAGCAGTGCTAACCACTGAGCCACACCAAAACAACCTCCTTCAGCTTCTTGTGCTGTGCTGTGGTTCTGTATTCACCATTAACAGGGAATGACTGGTAGAGTGAGTTGATGTTACAAACGGACCAGGCAGACTGTCTTGTCCTCGATGAGATCACGCTCCTTGACTGTTGCTGTGTTGCCCACAGAGACCAACAAACCAAAACAAAACACATTTACCAAATGACACCAACAAGAAAATCAATGACAAAAGCATTCTGGGAATTTGAAATAAAAACAGAAACTAAAATAGAAAGCCAGTCCTTGAAACATTCATATTGGACTCAAAGCTTTCACTCTCTTTCTTCCTCCATAGATTTTCCACACCTTTTACCAGAATTATTTTTAAAATGAAGGAGACAAAGCTTCCTTCACTGTCACTAAGTCAGACTTCTGGAACTCCCTTCCTAACGTATTGAAGGTGTCCCTCCACCGCACAGACTGCAGTGGTTCATGAAGACAGCTCACCACCACTTTCAAGGCAATTAGGAGCGGGCATTAAATGCTGGCCGAGCCAGTGATGCCCACATGCCCTAAGTGAATGTAAAAAAAAGATGCTAAGGAATACCTTCGCTCGGCAAGGAGTGAATCTTTGGAATTTTCTACCCCAGAGGGCTGTAGAAGCTCAGTCATCAAATAAGTTCAATAGGTAAGATAGGAGCAGGAGTAGACCATTCAAACCCTTGAGCCTCTTCAATATGATCATGGCTGATTACCAAACTTAATGTCCACCCCCCTTTAGCTGCAAAACCTATATCTATCTTCTTCTTGAAAGCACATAATGTTTTGGTCTCAACCACTTCCACAGGCTTGTAACTCTGTCAGTGAAGAAATTTCTCCTCATCTTAGTCCTAAAAGGTTTACCCCTTATCTTTAAACTGTGACCCCTGATTCTGGACTCCCCCTACCTTCAGGAACATCCTTCCTGTATCAAACCTGAGTCATTCTGTTAGAATTTTCTAGGTTTAGATGAGATCCAACTTCTTCTAAACTGCAGTGCAGACAATCATAAACAACTCAATCTCTCCTCGTATATTAGTCCTGCCATCCCAGGAATTAATTTGGTCTCTCTACAGCAAGAACATCCTTCCTCAGATGAGGAGACTAAAACTGCGCATATTTTTCAAACTTCAGCTTCACCAATGCCCTGTGTAATGGGAGAAAGACATTTTTGTTCCTATACTCAAATCCTCTATGAGCATCAACATACAGTTTGCCTTCTTTATTGCCTGCCGCTTTATTGAATGCTTACTTTCAGCATCTGGTGCACAAGGACACCCAGTCTTGTTGAACATTCCCCTCTCTCAATTTACAGCCATTAAAATAATAATCTGCTTTCATGTTTTTTTGCTACCAAAGTGGATAACCTCCAACATAATACTGCATCTGCCGTTCATTTGCCCACTCCCTTAGCCTGACAAAATCACAATACAATATCTCTGCATCCCCCTCATAGCTCACCCTTCCACCCAGCTTCGTGTCATCTGCAGCTTTTGAGAAATTATATTTAGTTCCCTTATCTAAATCATTAACAAAAAATTGTGGATAGCTTGGGTCCTAGTATTGATCCCTGCAGGACCCCAATCATCAGTAACTGTCATTCTGAAAAAGATTCATTTATTCCTACTCTTTGTTTCTGTCTGCTAACCAATTTTCTATCCAGCCACACACTACTACAATCTTATGTGCCTAATTTTGAACATTAATCCCTGATGTGTGTCTTTGTTGAAAGCCTTCTGAAAGTCAACATAAACCACATTTACTGGATATTCATGATCAATTCTACTAGTTACATTCTCGAAAAATATCAGTAGATTTGTCAATCACAATTTGCCTTTTGTAGGTCCATACTGACTGTGTCTGATTCTGTCACTGTTTTCCATGTGTTTGACTATAAAATCTTTGATAATTGACTTTAGCATTGCTCTCATTACTGACATCAAACTCACTGGTATATAATTCCTGTTATCTCTCTACCTCCCTTTTTAAATAGCAGGGTTACATTAGCTACCCTCCAATCTATTCGAAATGTTTCAAAGTCTAAAGAAACTTGGAAGCTGACCACCAATGCATTCATGATTTCTGGGGCCATTTTTAAAGTACTCTGGAGTGTAGATTATCAGGCTGTGGGGACTTATCAGCTTTCACTAAACCCTGTATTCCCCATTATTTCTGGTAAATTATTTGTGACCTCCTTTGTGAAGACAGAATCGAAGTATGAATTTAGTTCATCAGCTATTTCTTTGTTCCCTGTAATAAATTCCCCTGTTTCTGACTGTAAGGGACCCACATTAATTTTCACCAATTGTTTTCTGTTTTCATACCTACAGAAACTTTTACAGTCAGTTCATTTGCTCTCAGCAAGTTTACTCTCATTCTTCATGTTCCCCTTCTTAATCTAACCCTTGGTTTCCTTTTGCTGACTTGTAAATCGTTCCCACTCCTCAGGTCTGTTGTGTTTTCTTGCCAATTTGTATGTCTATTTCTAGTTTCCCTCGTAAACCATGTTTTGGCCACTATTCTCTTTGCATTCTTGCTTCAGACTGGAATAAAAAATTATTGTAGCTCTTTCAATGTTTGCCATTGCCTATCCACTGACATTCCTTTTAGTAAAATTTTCCCATTCGTCAGAGCCAACTCACGTTTCATATCATTGTAGTTTCCCTTATTAAGATTCAAAACCTTAAGCTCAAAAATCAACTACCTTATTCTCCATCTTGATAATGAGATGACATCAAAGGATCTGGAAATAGTGCAGAACATGGCATTGAGGTAGGTGCTTAGCCATGATCTAGAGTAGCAGAGCAGGCTTGAGGGACTGAATGGGAGGGACTGAATGGCCTAAACTGCTCTTACATACCTAAGTAACACTTGGCCTTTTACCTCCTATCCCCTATTGTCCAATGCACCAGATGCTCCTTTCATGTTAGCAGTGATCGACTTTCAATTTAGTCAACTGTTTTTACTGCTTACAATGCCGCTTTCACTACAGTTGGGAGACCAGTCACAGACTGACCAATTGCTTTTCAGCCTTCTGGCCAAGGAGAACAGAACAAGGGGACCATGTTCTCAGGATATGGGGCAGGTTGTTTTGGACTAATATGAGGCGAAATTTCTTCACTCAGTGTGAAGAACCTGTAGAATTCTCCACACAGAAAGCTGTGGAGGACAAATCACTGAATATACTTAGGAAAAATTAAATAGAATTTCTGGAGGCTAAATGTGTCAAGGGGTACAGAGAGAGAGCAGGAATGTGGTGTTGAGATAGAGGATCAGCCACAACCACGTTGAATGGTGGTGCAAATTGATGGGCTGAAAGGTCTACTTCTGCTCCTATTTTCGACATTTCTATATTTTCTCCATTTAACATTACCTGAGTGACTTTCTTCGATCTGAATATAAAGCAAACCCAAGGGCTAAAACAACTGCTTGAACTCATGAATGAATTAATTAGCCAGATGTTTGGTAGCAGCCTGCAGCATTTGGTGCCATTTGTCATATCTGTTGTCCACTGTGTTCCAAAGTGTTGAATACCAAAATAAGGCCAAACTGTCATTGAATCAATTATCACTGCCTGTTCTTTGCATTTTACAGATTTATCCAAACCAACATTATCTGTGGATTCTAGTCTGTTAGTGAAACACGGAAAGATTACTTTTAATTGTACAAGTCGCTGGAAACATTCTAGTTTCACATTTTACTTGTACCAACATGGAGAGACAAATTACACAGATGTTCAGCATATTTCTACGCAGAACAGTTCAGTCACCTTCACTGTGACAAATTTGGAACACACTATTGGAAGAACATACATTTGTCTGTATAAAGCCAACGTGAGGGGAAGGTTGCTAACATCAGCTCAGAGTGACCCTGTACACTTCAATTCAAGAGGTGAGATTCACAAAACCACTGTGTTCATTTGAGAATTAGAAATGTGTTTATTTGTTATTTTAACACTAAATGCTCCAATTCCAAACAAAAGTTTTATTTTCCAGTTTGGTTCATCGTTCCTCAGAATCTCCAAACAATCTAGGTTTTCCCCCAGAGATCAAAGAAAAAAATAAGACCAATCTACAAACTTTATCAAAAGGTAACTTCACCAAGTAAATAAAAAGCAAATTAAAAATGCTTTAGACATAATGTTTTTGAAAAGAGCGGTTGAGTTCGCACCAAGATCCACACCTTAACATTAGTTCATCTGTTCTGTGCATTAATAAAATGCAAAGTAAATTAACACAGTTTCAAGTGTGACTGGGGAAATGGGGCAGAGGGAAGGCTTCACATTTCTGGACCACTGGAACCAGTTCAGATGCAAGTGGGACTTAAAAATATAGTTGTACTGCAACATGACTGGATATTATGTTTACTATTCAGGATAGCCGGGGGCACAGTAAAGGGAGGGAAAAGTCTTCTGGTTTAAAATACTTTCATTTCAATGTGTGAGGCCTGACTGGTAAGGCAGATGAGCTCAGAGCATGAATTGGCTGTAGGACTGGGATATTGTAGCAATAACAGAAACATGGCTAAGAGAAGGGCAGGACTGGCAGCTCAATGTTCCAGGATACAGAAGCTACAGGCGTGACAGAAGTACAAGTTAGCAAGGAGGGGGAGTTGCCCTTTTTGATAAGGGAGGGCATTACAACAGTGCTTAGAAAGGACATCCTTAAGGGGGTCATCAAATAAGGCCATATGGTTAGAACTAAGAAACAAGAAGGGGATGGTCACTCTGTTGGGACTGTATTTTAGACCCCTAAATAGCCAGCAGGTACTAGAGGAGCAGATGTGTAGAGAGATTGCAGATACCTGTAGGAATAACAGAGTAGTATTGGTTGGAGATTTTGATTTCCCCTGTATTGACTGGGCCATGCAGAGTTTAAAGGGCCCAGGCGGGGTGGAATTTATCAAATGTATCCAAGAAAGTTACCTAAATCATTATGTAGAGGGCCCTCCTCTTAGGAAACAAGGTCGGGCAAGTGACTGAAATGTCAGTCGGCGAGCACTTTGGGCCCAATGACCGTAACTGTCTTGGTTTTACCATAGTCATGGAAAAAGATAAGACAGGTCCACAGGTCAAGGTGCTAAACTGGAGCGGGTCCAATTTTGGGGCCATTAGGCAGGATCTAGCAGCGGTTGATTGGGTGAATGAAAAGGAATGACTGGCAAATGGGAGGCTTTTAAAAGTGTGATTTCAAGAGTCCAGGGACAGTATGTGCATGTTAGGGTGAAGGGAAGAGCTGGCAGGTTTACGGATTCCTGGCTGACAATGGGTATTGAGGCTCTAGTCAGGAAGAAGAAGAAGGCATACATTGGGCCTAAGCTATTGGGTTCAAGTGAATCCCTAGATGACCATAAAAAGTGTAGGAGCACAACTAAGAGGAAAATCAGAAGAACAAAAAGAGGGTATGAGATGGAACGGGCAGATAAGGTTAAAAATAATCCCAAAAGGTCCTATTAGCTATATTGAGTAAGAGGGTGGCTAGGCAGCAAATAGATCCCCTTAAAGATCAGCATGGCCGTCTATGTGTGAAGCCACAGGAGATGGGAGTAAGATTTTTAATGAATATTTCTCCTCAGTGTTTACTCAGGAGAGAATTATGGATGCTAAGGAAATAAGGGAAACAAGTGGGGATGTTTTGGACCACAAACACATTACAAGAGAGGAGGTGTTTGCAGCCTTAGATTGCATTAAGGTGGATAAATCCCCTGGGCCTGATCAAGTCCATCCTCGGACATTGTGGGAGGCTAGGGAAGAAATGCAGAGGCCCTTGCAGAGATTTTTGCTTCATCTTTAGCCACTGGTAAAGTTCAGGAAGACAGGAGGGTGGTAATGTTGTTCCATCGTTTAAGAAAGATAGCAAAGACAAACCAGGGAACTACAGGCCGTTGAACTTGACATCCGCTGTAGTCGAGTTGTTGGGAAGGATACTGAGGGACAGGATCAACCAACATTTGGATAGTCAAGGTCTGATTAGGGATAGTCAGCATGGATTAGTACATGAAAGTCATGTCTGACAAATCTTTTAGAGTTTTTTGAAGTGGTAACCAAGAGGATGGATGAGGATAGGGCAGCAGTTGTTGTCTATATGGGCTTCAGTAAACCCTTTGACAAGGTCCCGCACGGCAGGCTAGTCATAAAGGTTAGGTCGCATGGGATCCAGGGAGAGCTAGCTAAT